TCTACCTTTCCTGTAATTCGCCGTGTGCTGCCGTGGCTCGCAGGAGACCAGGACTCACTGCAGAGGTTCTGGTAATGTCCCCTTCCCCTGTTCCCTACAAAGGAGCAACTGAGAAATTTTAAAATAGAGTCTTCTGAGGGCCGGGGATTTAGCTCAGTGACACCGCCCACAAGGTCCTGAGTTCAATCCTGCATACCCAGAGCGGGGTCGGAGGGGGGGGGGCGCATCTGAAAACCTGAGTTGCAAAAGCTAGTGTCAGATTAAATACTGGTATAGGGTGGGGGAATGGTAGCCTACCCCTTGCCTCCTGATCCCCTTTGCCCACTCATTGCTAGGCCTGTGCTCCTAGCTCCTCTTGTCTGTTCCTTAAACACTATACCTTCCAAGGTCCTCCCCTTCCCAACTCTAGTTAGTGGTCTCCTTTAGACAACCGTATTTACAGTCTCTCTTCATTCTGCTGCTAAAAGCATCACAGTAAAACTGTGTGACCAAATGGAACGTATCTGTTACACAAAATCTCTCCGTTCTGGGGTGTATGCCAATAGGTACTAAAAACTAAGAGAGAGATATAATGGTTTTATTCATTAAAATGGGATGTACTCAAATTTCTAAGTACATGTAATGCACTACTTGATTAGGACAATAAAGCAAAACAAAAATTTGACTTCTTTTAAAAGGTATTCAGAGAAATAATCTAAATGTCCAATAGTAGGAAAATGATTAAGTAAATTCCACTAAAGCCACTTGAGAGAATGTTACCTAGTTGTTAACTGCATAGATGCTGAGACAAAAACAGAGTCAGGAGGGTTTTCACCTGCCTCGACAAGACCTGCGGCAAGGTTCACAGTGAATGACCATGGCAAAATGACAGTAGTAAAATGACCTTTGCCTAGGGGCCACCCTCTCTTTATAGTGTGGGAACCCTATTTTCACCAACAATCCACCAAAGGTAGGTCTCAGCTCTGCAACACAATCTTTCATTTAACAGGTTAATAAGACAAATAAAATCAGAACCCAATTTGCATTTACAGTGAGGTACTAACTGCCAAAGAAACACTGTGAGAAGTCTCCTCACCTGGTAAGCATTTCTAGAACTGGAAAGCCAAATCACAAGCAAAGAGATATTCAGTAAGCACTTGCATAGGAGTTAGATTAATTCTCCAGCAATAATATAACACAGAAACAGTGGTGTGGGGCTCTGCTACAATCCTGTGTTCACCTCAGTATTAAAGACTGTGCCTGACAACCCCAGAGAAGCATCTGGATAGAGTACGGTCCTCATTCCTCCTGAAAACCACTTGGCAGGACTCTGCTAGTGCACTCAAGTTCTCTTTCTCTAAGCATCTAAGGCTAACTTGTACTTGCTCCTCTATCATATTCTTTCATATATAGGTTATGAAGCTTAGTCAACTTCCTCCTAATGCTAATATACTATGTGCACTGACCTTAAGTCAACAAAGAACATGTAACAGAATGTTAGATTTCTTCTCTTAGATGAAAAAGCAGGATAAAAAATGATGACGTTCCTTATTATTATAGTCATATAGTATGACTATTCTCTGGAGGCTCAATGAAATCATGGCTTTGTCACTTCTGAGATGTATGATAGTGTGCAAATTACTTTATTTTTCTGGGCCTCAGTTTCCACAACTGAAAAACTGGGATAATAAATAGTACTTTCCTCGTGTAGTTACTGTAATGAGACATACATATTCAGCTTAAAACACGGTCTGATACAAAGCAATCTTCCAATAAATATATCAGTATGTGTGTTTGTATGTATCTATGTATGAATATATGTGATAAATGTGACAAATGTGGTATGTATATACCCTTTTTTTTTTTTTAATTTGGGGTTTTTTTTGGAGACAGAGTCTTACTTTGTAGTTCAGGCTGGCCTTAAACTCACCATGTAGCCCAAGCTGGCCTTGAACTTGTAGCAATTCTCCTGCCTCAGCCTCCCAAGTGCTGGGATTACATACGTGAAATACCACCACACGTGGCTCTATAGATCACATTTTAAGGAGCACAAAGAAAATAACTGAAAGATAACATTCTAAAACTCCATTACTGGTTATATAAAATTGGTAATAATACCGGGAGTTTTTCTCTTTCCCATATTTCAAAATGTAATTGATATAATTTTATTTTTAAATTTATATATGTTCCCATTTATTTAAAAATAAAGATTACATATTTGCTTATATATGCATAAAAATTTTCTGAAAATTATACAAGAAACTGTTAGTAGAGGTTACATCTGGGGACTAGTAGTATTGGGGATAAGATGGCAGAAGGGGATTTCATTTTCATTTTATATCCTTACATATTGTTTTGGATATCTTACCATATTTTTTTAAAAGATAAAATTGAGGAATCCTCCCACTTAAGATTATGTATTTTTTAATGCACATTCCTCTAACATTTATATTCGGCTTTCTTCAAGACAAACTGACTTGAGGTACTCAATGTTTTTGTAAATATATTTCTAACAGTAAGGTCACACCCATTTGGCAAGTTTATTTTAAAAATTACATATTGCTGCAGTTTTAAAGATGACAAAACTTTAAATGGGATGCTTACTGAAGATTTTCTTTCTCAAACTCACTTTTTAAATTATGCAAATAACAGGATCACTGTAGAAGACTGGGAAAATATAAGGGTGCAAAAAGGAAAACTACCATCACATATAACCACTCCTACCAGTATTAATGGTTTGTTGTTTTCTTTCTTTACACATATATTAATATGTAGTTCTATTTATATATAAAATGTATTTACAAAACTGAGATCACAGTGTACCTACAGCTCTGTAACCTGGTTCTTTTCCCCCAATACATAACAGATGTTCAATAGACATATGTTAAATTGAATTATTGAATTAGTATTGTACCATTTCTCATCAAAAATTGCTTCCACAGAAGGCATTTAGTTGGTGTCCAGTTTTTAAGTAAAATAAATACACTTTATGATATGTTTCAATTTATCTTTATCTGTATGATTATTCCTTAGGAAAAATTATTGAATCAGAGTACAAAATACTAAAGATCTATTGGTTTACACTCCTACCAACAGCATAGCCTATTCTCATTGTATCCTTGCCAACACAACTACCATTTTAAAAACTCACTGTTATTTGATTGATATAATTTTAATACTAAAAAAACAATAGAAACCTCTACCTGTTCTCTCAGTAAGAAGGTAATGTGTGCAGAATTATTAGGGATAAAGTAGTAGAAAGGTCCTTTCAACCTAAGGCTGCTCATGTAGTTAAAGAAAAGGGTTAAAACTCAGACACTGACAAAACCATAAGAAAATGAAAAGGAGCTCAATGATACAACCCAAACAGTTCCCTGGTGAATGAAGGAAACCCAGAGAAGGCTTGTTAGAGGGGAGATGAATGGAAAGGCGGCACAGAACAAGTAGGACAGCCAGAGACCAGAAATGGCACTGTGCAGGATACTAGGCAGCAGAGCACAAAGGAGACCCAGGCAGGTGTCACAATGGGCCAGTCTGGTTGGGCCCAGCAGAGGCAAATGGGAGTCCCCAAAAGCTTTAGGTGGGAGAAAAACAGAAAGCCACTGCTGCATGAGAAAAGCTGCCAATGTCCTGTGATGAGCTCACCTGTGAGTAAGATTATATCTCCAAGAAACACGGTGAGTGCCCAGAATGCTGCAGTCCTCCACAGAACTACTTTCTTCATTTCTGATTGATCGACGACTGTAATTGTTGCTAAAGGCACCTTAGAGCCAGAATTTGGTCCAGATTTTATGTTTACTTCTTTCACATGACATGGAGTTAGCACCATAACTAAACAATTATACCTGTGGCTTTTAGAATCACAATTTTTTATTAATGATAGTTTTTTAATACCCTTAAATTCAGAAACATCCCTCTGGTACCTTGCTCTGGCAGAATCTCTTGCATTAGAACACAACTTCATTTTCTTAGAGGCTGGGGGCACTTCAGACAGAGCTTTAGAATGGCCCAAGTTATCTTTGGAGGTCTGACTACTTCTAACAGGAGTTTGGGAGACAGCTTTTAGTTGGGAGCACAGTATTCCTGCACCACACAACTCAATATGTATCTCACTAGGTGGCAGCTCATCTTCACAGCTGAACAACTCTTGAGATCCTGCATTTCCTTCTAGTTCTTGCCCGGTGTTAACATGAATGTGACTACTTTCTGTTTCAGGGTGGACAGAACTAAAAAGTTCTAGGGAATGTGCTTGGTTTTGCCCATTTTCATATTGTTCTGCAAAATCTTCATGAGGCTGAATCAAATTATCTTCGGGCATTCTTACTTCCCCAGGATCTGCCTTTGGTTCAGACTGCATGTTTACAGTCCCTGTATTTGTAGACTTCTGCCCTTGCTCCTTCCTTTGAGCTAAGAAAGCAACCTGGCTGCAGGTCATGATGCTGAGAAATTCAGTGTCTGCAGAGATGTTAGGGCTGGGGCCCTTCCTCACTTCTCCCACAGGCCCTGCCTCCTCCACTGCATTAGAGGAGAACTCCTGATGCTGGCTCTGTATTTCCTGGTGTTCTGTACCCACACATTTTGTCTCTACAGCTTCAGAGCCTATACTTCTGTGTCCAATACTAGAGACCAAATTCAACATAGTTACACATTTGGGGCCTAAATGAAAGGCATCTGTTTGAAAGTTCTGACCACATGTATTTAACTGATTTTCAGGCTGCTCACTTGTGATTTTATTTTCACATGGAAGTTTTTGATGTTTTTCTTCTTTAAATAAATGCTGGGCTGTGCCCTTGCATCCTCTGATTTGTACACTAGAGGTGGGCATGGCACTCGGGCCTGAGGGATTCTTCTGGAGTTTTCCATCCTGTGTTTCATAAACAGAATGTGGAAAGCCACTTTTGCTCTGAACAGAGCTCACAAGACCTGGAGCACCCACAGCTTCTGGGACCTGACAATCTTTCAGGTTTTTAGGCTTGCAGCTTTCTTCCTTCACATGTAAAGCATGTTGATGGTACAATAGCTGGATTTTACCCCAGTGGTTAGCTGTGGACATTAAAGAAGCTGTTCCCTGTGATACTGTCATTTTCAGGGGACCAACTGGAGCACCCCAAAAAATGTGGACTTGAGATCTTCTGCTCATAATCTGAGAAAAATGAAAAATCCCAAATTAACTTCTTGTTAGATTTTTATAAATTAATATTAACTTAATAAGGAACCAAAAGAAAATTAATACAAACTATGAATCAAAAGCATGAAAGGTGATTTATTTTGGTATGCCATTTAATTAAAGCATTTATAAATACACAAATCATAAAAGTACTCAATATGGTCACAAAAAATATCTTCATCTAAAGACTCAGAAATAAAGCTAAAAATACTAGTATCAAATAGGTAAATAAATTTTCAGTACACTCATTTCTTGAGTTGCAAAATCTTCCCCCACTTAAATCACAAGTAAAGAAATAAAAAATAATAAATCACAAGTTAGTTTAAAGGGGAGGGGGCAGGAGGGGAAAACGTTCATTTAATATATTATAGTCACCATTAAATTACCTGTTTTCTTTACTCATAGATGATCTCAGTAGATCATGGTCCTACTTCCTTAACTGTGAACTCAATTCCCAAAACCAAAATAGAAGCTCAAACTGGAAGCGGAGAACGTAACAAACATGAGGCTTTCTTCAAAGTGCACAAGTGAATGTATTATCTACTTCACGCCGGTCTGTTAGCACAATCAACACAAACCGTATCTTCTCATCTTTTCTACAGTACAAACAGATTGACAATAATTTTGTAATATCTAAAAAAAGAGAAACTTCACTTACATTTTTTCACCAACTATGACAGCTGAAACAAATCTAAGTGAACATCATACTGAGATAAACAATCATACAAGCTATTTGCTTATTCATAACTGACATTAAATAAGCTCTTATTAGAGAGATCTATTCCTAAAATTCAATGAAACATTTTTACAATGCTAGCAAACAAAAGACAGATAAGGTTCTTGGCTGGAAGAACTATTGTCATGGTTTTAAAAAATAAGTGAAAGCCAGACATGGTGGAGCATGCCTGTAATCCCAGGTTTCGGGAGGCTGAGGTAGGAGGATGGCAGCAAGTTCAAGACCAGCCTGGGCTACATATAGAGCTCAAAGCCACCCTGAACTACACAGCAAAACCCCATTTAATGGGGGGGAAAAGAAAGTAGTGAACATAAGAGGCATAATCAAACTATACAGTGAATATTTAAATTTTTTTAATGTATTACAGTAAAAGATGCATTGCCATTAATCCCCTCAAAATAATCCCACCTGCTTCAAACACACGTATCTCATAGTTCTTGCCAGTTTTTTGAAGCACTCCTGGAAGTTCTCTTTCATGAATGACTGTATTAGACATGATCAAAAATCCAGTGAAAAAACGGGCTGGGAATTTAGCTCAAGGGTTCCGCCACCCACCTTGCAAGTGCAAGGACCTGAGTTCGATCCCTGGTACAAAAAACCCCCCAAAAAACAGTGAAAGGCAGGCTCATAAAAATATGGCAGTGTGTTCTCAACCACCTCATTCACTGGATCTGGTACCATTCAACTTCTGGCTTTTCCTCCAAAGTCAAAATGACCAAGAAAGGTAAACATTTTTTAAATAATTCAGAACGTCAGGGCAGCCATACCAGCACAACTAAAGAGTCTCACTAGCCAGGCATGGTGGTGCACACCTAGAATCCCAGCATTCAGGAAGCTGAAGCAAGAATATTACCAAGTGTTCAAGGCTACCCTAGGCAACATAGTGAGTTGAAAGCCAGCCTGAACTCAATCTGAACTACATAGGGGTACTCTGTCTCAAAAGATTACCAAAAAAAAGACATGGAAGAAGACTTGCAGACATCTCAGAAAGTGGCAAGAACAATGTGTTCAAAAACATTATATTTTGTGGGGAAGAGTGCTATTATGGGAGACAGGCATTGTGACTATAAGCACTTTGGGATTTTGTTTTTGTTTTGCTTCCAGGTACTGTGGATTGAATCCAAGGCCTCACACATTCCAAGCAAATGTTCTACCACTGAGCTACATCCCTAGCCCTGTTACATATATTTCAAACAAGAAATGAGACTTGTAAAAGAGGAAAGTTATGAAAGACCAGTTTCAATTTAAAGTCATTACCTCTAGCCAGAAACCAGTACCTAGCAATCACATCCTTCCAAGCAATCACTCTTCAAAATAACTCTCTATACCTTTTCATCCTGTAAGTTCCCTGCATCTTCTCCCCTAGTCTTCTGCCACTCAAGCTCTCCCGGCAGCACATCTCCCAGCCCACCTCTGTGGACCCACACTCTGCCACCTTCCCATCAGGAGAGATGAGCATCCATGTTTCTGTGCAAGGCCACCTCTCCCACATTTGTGTACCAGGTTCTGGCCCTGCATAGGACCTTCGCCCCCACATCATAGATGTTTCTCTGTACTGGAGCATCTCCACTGGCACAACATGCTGTTATGATTCCCTGAGTGGTTATTCCTTATTTCCTATCTCCCTCCATTTTGCACACTGTTTGCACTTCCTTCCATCTCTAGAAAAATGCCTTAAGAATTGTCTGTACCCCCTCTGCTGTTTTCTCTTAATGTCCTCTACCAAGCTTTTGTCCCAGCCACTATCCAGCAACAAAAGCTTATTTCAAGATACCTAGCAACCTGCACTTTGCCCTCAGTCAACTTCCTGTTTCCAGCTTACCCGGCTGTCTGTAACATTTGACACCACCGATGCAGTCTCACCACACTTTCCATTTGCCTTTAAGGATATCAAATCCCCTTGCTACCTGCCCCACTTCCAACTACCTTTTCTCAGAGGTAGTTTCTCTTTGCTCTTTCTCAGTCTCCTTTAGGGGCTGCTCCTCTACTTCTTGCTCAAGGGCCCAAGGGTCAAGTCCTTCTCTGCACTTACTCCCTGTGCAATTTCTGTCTGTCTCAGAATCTAACTGGCACTAAGTGCCAATGACTACTGCATGTCTGTCTCCATCATCAGCTCTCCTCTGAACTCCTGCACCATATCCAACCTGCTATCTTCCCAGTATCTACACCAGACATCTGACAGGCACGCTCAGAGCAGTTAGCATAACAGACCTCCAAGTAGTCACACTTTAATAACCCCGAAAACACAGTAGGCTTTGGCTGGCATCTGTGAATTTCAGTTTCAAGGGGGTTTACAACCATTCCATCATAAGAATGGCTCATGGTGCCAGAAGTATTTATATAAACAATGCAGTTGGTGTTTAAACTGCTTCTGGAGATCTGGAATTTTGGCATAAGCTAGGCAGAGGTTGGCTCTGTGACTAGGTCTCCTTGGAGAAATGGTTGATTCCAGGTTCTGAGGCAGGAAATGTATAAGATGAACCTGAAACACCTCATCAGACCACAGGCAACAAAACTGATTTTTTAAAAACACTATTAGGATTGTATCAAAAAAAGTCAGGAGCTAACTTGAAGATGGTCCCTCTGGCCAAAGTCAGCAATTTAAGCATCAATAAGGATAATAAATGTGATGGATTAGACCCTATCAAATACAGTATGCTTAAATCCACTAGTATATAAAGATAAGTAAAGCAAACTCAATAGTCACCTTTGGAATATAGTAAGGGATTCATTGTTTTTTAAAGCTAGCAAATGAAAGAAAATGTAACCTTTCTATAATTACAGAATTTTGAGATGACCAATTATTTGATGAGAAAAATCTGTAACAGAGGTATTCTGCTAATAACCAAGAAAGGAATGATAGGCACCATCATTTCACAACTTCCAATGAATCAGTGGATCCTTCAGCAAAAGATCAATGACTGCTAACATCCCAAAGATAGATGTTGTAAGGGATGGTGCAGGGAACCTGGCAATTACAATGTGTGAACCTTATTTAGATAGGGAGTTTATCCAACCAAATGTAAAAATATTTTAATAGGAAAAATGGAAATCTTACCTCATTTTTTATAACATGGAGAGATTATCATTATTTTTTAGTGGGATACTGTTTGTTTGGTTGGTTTTTTTTTTTCTTTTTGAACAGGATCTTGCTATGTAACCCAGGCTGGCACTGAACTCACTATGTAGCTCAGGCTGGTCTTGAAATCATGGTAATCCTCCTGTCTCAGCTACCTGAGTGCTGGGATTGCAGGTGTGCACCACCACCCCTGGTAGGATACAGTTTTTGAGGCTCTGTTTGAAGGGGTTTAAGTGCTACAGATAAATAATAAGTATTTGCAGAGAGAATGCTGTGATAGCCCAGGCTTCCTCTTAGAGTAAAGATACTGGCCATGTGTTGGTGACTGTGGAGGCAGGGTGATAAGATACAGGTCTGCATTAATGGCTCCATCTTGGTAAATGCTTGAAACACCCTGTAATGCAAGTCTTTTATTTCTTTTTCAGAAAACACTGTTTCCTTCCCACAGGACTGGGAAAAGTAAACAGTGTGTTAATACTCAAGTCCCAGGCCTGGAAGAGTACAACTGCAAACCAGTAAAACTGAGAACACACACACCAGACAACACAGCAACTGTTCTTCCAAGTTTCTGCTCTGGCGAGCTCATACATACACACACAAGAAAACAGGCACAAAAGTCATCATGGGAGACTTGAAGGGCAGTGATTTTTTTTTTTTCATGTGGAACATTTTTATTCCTAACTTATACTTTGCAAGATATTTGACAATATATAAAGAACACCCAATTCTAGGTGGTGATTGTTTTGTATTATGACTTGTTTATAAAATGTTACCACATAATAAGAACTACCTTTTTAAAAAATATATCAGTTGGGCCAGGGATTTGGCTCAGTGGTTCTGGCGCCTGCCTTGAAAGTGCAAGGTCC